TGCCTCTCCACCTTCTCCAGGTCATTTGTGATTTATTTTTTTATAGATGTCTGTCACATTCCCCGTCCTACCGGGCATTTCTTGTCTGGACTTGAAGAGTCCTGTTAGTGATTTAACAGTTAATTATGGCCAGGAAATGTCTGCAACTCTATGACATGTCTCTCCTCCTTTTTCTCTCTGGGCCTATTTGTGGCATCTATTACTTAAAGCATCATGTACGAGTAGTAACCCTTAGGCTACGTATATTACTGGTGTTTTAATTCAGAACAGAACTGCTCTTTGAAGGTGACTCCCACCGACCGCATTGTAGTTTCCGTGTGCAAAGTAGTTTCGGTGTGCGTGGACCAGATTTCCTTCAGAAGCTTCACTCCAGTTGCCCATCACACGTCCTCCAACCTCTCGCGGGACATACAGGTCCATACCGATGATGGATGTATCAGTAAAGGACGTGCCGGTGATGTCCTTTAGACAACTTCGAACCGTGTGTCAGGTTGGGCACCAGACTAAAAACCAGACTAAATCCAGTTCAAAGGAAACCCTCAAAGCGCAGAGGGTGTAGCCATAGGAGCCTCAGCCCAAAATGCTTCGATTGCCTGGTCGTGTCTGATGGCACCAAAGTGTTCGTAATGTAGAAATGTCTTTGGATTTTTATAGTGCTTTTCCTTGTCAGAATATTTTACGGCCATTAAAAGTTCAAAACACCTTCTTGCCTTATTGCCACTATTGACGTGGAATCTTCGTTGCAGGGTGATGATGGAATCGAATTGCAAAAAAAAAAAGTCACTGATGGCGACATTTGGGTAAACAGGAGGAGGTTTTGGCTTCCTGGCTTGTGTTTAGAGTGGCAGTAGACATTCCTCAGGCGTTGTGCTGTGCTGGCACCTCTGGGCAGCACATTCCCCCACCTTGTTACTGTCAAACCATCTCCTTTCAGACGCTTTCAACTTACTGAAAAAGTACCTGCTCAGGTGAAACGTGTCCTACGTGCTTTGGACAAGGAAAGGCTTTTCATTTTGGTGCCTTGCATACGATGATTTCTTCAGAGAAATTACGTGTGATAGAAATGTGGTGGTTGGGCTTAAATCAACATTGTTTTTCACTAGAGAAAAGAAAATAGTTTTTGTGAGTATAGATGGATTTTGAGGTTCATCTTCCTATGAAGAAGTCATATTTCTTAAAGCAGTCGTAGGCAGGTGTCATACAGCGTATGCAGACACGTAATGTGTTTGTTTGTCCACGGTTTGAGGTATACGTATGAGTGCGTCCTGTGTCTGGCGCATCCTGCGCTGAAATAGCCTCCTGTGTTGATTGGGATCCGTATGGCAGCCCAAAAGCCAGGCTTTTGGATGGACATTTACAGAAGCTGGTGTTCACCATCTCAGAGACAGATGACGTTCGGTTTTCTCTTGTAAATGAGAACTCAAGCCAGAAGGCAAACACCCGCTTGCCAGGGGCAGGTTCGCCGAGACTCGGAGCACTGCCTGGGGACACGAGGACCAAATGGCCATAAAACCCTTACGCTTGAATGTAAATCCCCAGCTGTAATGTCTCATGGACGGAAAGTTTTCCACTGATTTTCCTGTTGATCTTCTTAAGAGCTCCATCGTGTGTTACTGAAGCCGCTGGCGTAAATACGTGTCTCTGTGTAGCTTTCTCTTCCAGCTCACTTTATAACCGTGATTTTCTTTGCTTTGAGAATTGCTCCTTCTGTGCTAACTTGGGGGTGGAGGGAAGGCTAATTAATTAAGCAGTAATTGTTGTCAAGTCAATTGGTGCTAACATTTAACATTTGACTTGTTTACTATCCTGAGGTAAAGCGGAAGGAGTTAATGATCTAACAAATTGTGCATCCATCAAGAGAGACTTGTTTGGAAAGAACGGTTTTGTTTATGAACTGTAAAATAATACATTTTTAAAAACCCACATTTTGAAGCAATATCGTTGAGATTCTTGTGTGAAATTGTCACTAGATAGCTGTGGAGACAAATGCGTCGCCTAATAAAGCTTAATGACTGATTTTCCCATTAATCAGAATTGAGAATGTGCTTCATTAAGATAATTAACTGAGCCAGTTGCTTAACTGACAGTTAGTAGACACAAATTCCCAAGTTACTTGCTTTCCTCTAAATAAAACTCACAAGAAGCTAACGCAGCACTGCTTCATCATCTTTATTGGAGAGAGAAACAGAAAGGCTGTTAAAATCTCATTGCCCGTCTGGGACAGCGGTGGGATGCGGTGGGTGGCACTGGGTGCCCGGCGCAGCCTTGCACCGGCCCCAAGCCTTGGGCTCGAGGTTATTGTAGTCAGCTCAAGCTGAAAGCTCGCAAATAACTCGCCGCTCTCCATCTCACCAGCAGCAAATGGTCTTCTATCTGCTAATTTCTGAAAGGTCAGGTCTTCGTTGTGGTTGTTTTTGTCACCCAAGAACTATTAGCGCCTCCAAGGGGGTGAATTCCTTGTCAGAATTTGTGGCTTCATTGCAAGCTAGAAGTGGGGTCATGAGTCCTGAGCCCCCCTGAAGGCAGGGATGTGGCAGATTAATTTGCTCCGGGTACATTTGTAGGCAGAATATGCAGCGCTGAAGAAGTTAGGGGAATTAACTGAGAGATCCAAAACTTGAATTATTAAATATGCTATCTGGTTGTAATGTCTAGTTGTAAATCCTTTCCTTCGCAGCTCTCTGTGTCTTGAATTATAACACGATAACGCTATCACATAGCAGAAGACTCTTTGCACAGAAGTCGACTCTGGAGCTAACGTAAGGCAGTCGTCTCAACTCTGCTTTTCTTTTGTCCTCAGAGTTCCCGGTCTTCCACCATGAACCCTGTTTACAGCCCCGTCCAACCTGGGGCTCCCTACGGAAACCCGAAGAACATGGCGTATACAGGTAGGACCGGTGTTCAGTGGCTCTTTCGTGAACGTCCGTATTCGGTGGTGAGAGCAGATGATCATTAATGAGTGGTTAATCCCTTAACGAAGGGAGAAAGAGTTCCCATCAGAGAGCCAGACGGGAACATGACTTGCAGCAAAAACTCTTCAGCGAAGCCAATGCAGTAAGGTTAGTGAGAAGAAACGGATCTGAATTCATAGGAAGAGGATGCCCTGGAAATCCTAAAGAAAATGATCAAAAGGGGGTTTCTTTAGACAAACGAAACACGCAAGAAGTTGCTGGGGGAGTCAGCTGGGAGGTGGAGGGCTTGCCTCCGGAGCTGAACTGAGCGACTTGGGTGCACGTGGCGGAATAATCCTGCCGTAGAAACGAGGATCCCCCAAGCGAGAGCCCGTTATTTGGAGAACATGCGGTTATTGTTATAGGTGGTGATTTAAGCTACGTTATTGACTGATTTTTTTGTTTTCAAGTTCCGCTTTGGTTGGGTTAACAAGCAAGTCTGATGTCTGTTTGAAGTCCATCTTTAGAACCGAGTTGTCTAAAAATGTCATCTTTAATGCTTGAAAAAGGCACTGGAATATGTTTACCATAATTATGTAACTAGTGGGGAACTAAAGTGTACTGATATGGACAGAATTTAGCTCAGAGAGAAACAGTGCTTTGGAAAAAGAAAACCTCAGCTTAGGGGCATCCGTGGTTTTCCCCGTGGATTATGTTTACCAGCAGTTGCTGTATAGTTGATCTTGTTGATCTCGTGTAAGCACCTTACAAAATCAGCCTTGGAAGACACCGTTTTCTAACGTTTTGTTGAATATAATTAGCTATTAAGTGTCATATTGTGTTAAGACTCCCTTCTTTATATTTGCATTGCCAGTTGTGTATGTTGACTTTTACCTAATGTGTGAAATTGCTTGGGAACGTGCTTTTGTGGGGGAAAGTGGTCAACGGCAAACGGAAGTGCACATCAAATACTCTTAGCTACTTCATTTACAAAATACCCTCATTGACGTTGGTAGCTGCTTCAGCTGGTAGATCAGCAGGGCTGGCTGCGTTGCTGCGAGGAGACCTGTCTGATACTCTGTGGAGCGGAGAGTTCCTCAAAGGTGTTTTGCCCCATTTTTTTTTTTTTTTCACCCTTTCTATTTCCCTGTCAAATTTATGCATGCTGCTTTGTTGGAGACACCGTAGCTCGGGGGAACTTCGGTCTCACAGTCAAAGCACTAGGGGCTTGGGGGAAAAAGAAATCTCTGTAAATAATAGTCTCTTCAAAAATATCACCATTGTAAGAGGACTGCAGACTCCAGCAGTGCTTGGGTGATAGAATGAGCTCATAAGTGCACAGTTATTTTCCTACACTAGAAATAACAGCAATTTTGTGCTTTCCAGCACAAGGATGGTTTGGACAAGAGTCTGCTTCTCTCCCACTCTGCCCTTTTTTTTTTTTTTGGTACGTGCTCAGAGCTCCACCTTAATATCCATGCAATGTAGATTTTTCTATATCTGCTTTCATACAGTCCTGAATGTTTTGGAAGCTGCTTTCTGGCACTTGATAAGACAATTTTATTTAAATATTGAGGTGTAGATTGGATAGGGTTTGTACCCTGACCTTTCTGGAAGGTGAATTTTGGAGTGTGATTTTTGGTTTAGATGAATGAATTCTACATGACTGCATTCTGAATAAGTTAAATGGCAACATTAATAGGATGTAGCCTTCTAAAATAACCTGGTTAATCACCATGAAGATTATAGTGTGCACTTAAATATCTAAAGCTATTGTCTGCCTCGGCCAGCTTGTGCCAGCTCTGGCGGCATGGCGAGGCGGCCCCCATGAGACTGGTTTCACCTCAAACCATCGGACTTCAGGCATTTGTCTTCCGGAGTTTGTGGTAAATGAAGAGAAATCAGCGGCAGATGTGCAGGATGACCTTGGAGAAGAACGTTGGAGGCAGATCAGACTAGAAAAAATAGAACAAGGTCCTTAGTTATGTCAATGGAAAAGCAAAGAAGTGAAGATTCAAGTGACTGCTTGAACGTAGGACACCGAAGCGGGAATTGAATCGTCTTAGCGCTTGGTTTTTCCATTGCGCAGGTGTAAGGTAAGGAGTCAGTGGGCTGAATTCTTACAGTGAAGTCCCAAAATAGACAATAGGTTAAAAAGTGTTTAAACGAAGAGCTATTTTCTTTGCTAGGCAAATAGTATTCCGAAACCTTTTAAATATGAATTTGTTTGACTATTTAATGAAAGACCTAAAGTTATATTGCGAAAGAGGGGGAGAAAATTTAGATTTTATCCTTTGTATGGAAACGACAGGCAACTCCTGAGGGTGGTCTCAATGGTTATTAAAAGAAGGCTGCCACGTGTCCTGCATTACAAGTGCCAGGCTCTCTCTATCTAATTCTTGCTTCCTATGCTTAGACTTCATTTCCATTGCTTTAACTTGCATCATTTAGCTACGTATCAGTTCCTAATGTAGCCACAAGCTATTCTGGAGGATATTTAAACTCAGAGAGACAAACAAAATAGACTTTTCACAGGAGAAGCATAAAGTTAAGGAGTCTGTAGATGCTTCCTTCTCAAATTGCTTTGAAAATGATCGCTGAAGCATATGACGTGGTAGATCTGGAGGGGACGTTGACTGCCATCGCGTGCGCAAACCCCTTCCATGGTCCTGGGAGCTCGTTACAGCTTTGGGGCTTAACGAGTGTCTCGGTCCTGATTGGCAGCTGACTGGAGGAGTTTGCTCGGAGCCCCTAATTTAAAATAGCATGTCAGCAAACCATTCCCACGATCACTTCATGAGACAGCGTGTACGACATCTGTCCCAAAATTTTGATTTGAGATCTAATTTGGCATACAATATAGAATTTATACGGTATAACATATAATTTTTTTTTTAATCTCACCTTTTTGCAATAGTGGAGGACGCTGAAAAAAATTAATGCCATTTATATTAGGCAAGAAAGAGAAATAAAAAAACCTGAAGTGTAATAAACTTGAGGTAAAGGTTGTTAGCCTTGGGCTATGTTCTCGGTTTGCTTTAGAGTTCAGGTCTTTTTACCCCAAATCTAGTACAGCACGTGTATTACTTAAATTTTTGTCTTTAAAGATCATGCATGAACCATTAATTTCTAACCTTGTGGAATAAAACTCAGGCAGGATATATGCAGAAAGAAAACAAGGATGGTAATCGGGATACTGGCAGGTTGAATTCTATGCTCTTGTGGTTTTTTAGTGGTAAATGTGAATGCTTTGTATAGAATAGATTGCTTTTGGTTGAAATAATTGGTTTTAATCTGGTTTTCTTCTCATTCTCACTTCTTTGTTGTTTACCGTACAGAGGTACGGTAGGGGTGGGCTAGGGAGAGAGGTCCATTTCAAGATAAATAAAAATTTTTGTACCAAATTGGCTGCTCGTGTGTTAGGGAGAATGGGAAATCCTTGGCACATACTCAAGTACTTGATGTACCATACGTTTATTCAGATTGTTAATTTTTCCATTTTGATCTTCCTTAAAGGAAGTGTGAAGGACAGTTATTTCCTAAATGACTTTTAAAGTGTGGTCTGAATTAGATGAATTTTTATGGGAAATTAGAATTAAGTTTAGAAACGGAATTTTAAAAATAGAGTTATTAGGTGAAACAAAGTCAGAAGTGTTAAATTCGTAAGAGAAAAGTTTATCGAAACATTCCCCGTATTTGAACTGATAGATTTATTAAGCAAAGGTGGTTTCTCATGTAGTTAGTACGTCTTATTTTTAGGAGTCCTTAAGGCCCCCAGATCTGTTGGATTGCAACCTCCTTCCCGTTTTCCTCCTAAACAGAAAGAGTGGAATAAGCCTTGCGCATTTTCTGCTAGCAGTGCTTTCTCGCTGTTGAACGAGTTGGCTGTTGAGCGCAGCTGAGGTGACACGGAGAGAATGTTCTCGCTGCAGACGGAGCTACGTCTGTCCAGCGCCGGGTTTGTGCTCCAGCAAGTCCTGGTTCCTCGTGCTCGGCTGGTGACTGCTTCCACTTCGCTAATTCGACGTATTTTAGAACATCACCGGCAAACGGTGGTTGAGTGTTGTTTACTATTTAATTAAAACAGACTGTAATTAACTTGGATCTTCATGTAAGCTGTCGTTTTAATTGAGGTTAACTTTAAAATGTATTTAAGGCCTCTCATTTGCTTTTTTATTATTTGTAGAATTCACTTTACCTGCCCCCAATGTAAGCTGCTGAACGCCTGGTTTTCCTTTGCCGCGTTATCCTTTCCCTTTTCTTGCGTCCGCTTTTGCTAAGGCACCGGTCCTGCAGCAAATGGGTGAGCTCGTTGGCGTGGAATCAGGGATGAAGAATCAGTCTCTCCTGTAGCTTGGTTGACTTCAAATGTGAAACTATAAAAGTGTTTGTTATAGCTCACACTATTCTCATTTTCCCTACCAGAAGCTGATTAATATGCTGATAAGATGCTGTGATTCATGAACCTTCGGTAGACTGACTCTGTATTCGTTGTAGTTACTACTAAATAATAAAATCCAAGAGCCCGAAGATGTGAAGCTGGTTAGTAAATCTCCAAAGAGTTTGTGTCACACCGCTCTAGTGCACGACACTTTCCAGGTCCTGCCGCCACAGCAACCCGCTCCGGAGCTTCCATGCTCAGAAGAGACATTCTCCAGCTCAATTTTTGCTGATGGAAGCCCTTGGTTTGCTTTGGACAAACAGCCCCGTTTAGGTTCTATGTGCAGTGAAGCAATATTTCTATTCCCATCCCCCACCCCGCCTTACTGAAGGTAAAGGAAAAATGCTTTTATTCAGTAGATTATTTGAAATTTTAAAAGGAACAGGACAAGTTCTGTTTTTCTAGTTGCTCACTCTTTATCCATTCAGAAAAATCACTAAACAATATGGATATATTCTCTTCTGTTCCTTCTTTGGCCACCGATTACTGATGATACTATTCCAGACGGAATTGTAATTGTCCCCCTCCACCTTTTCCCACATCCAACCCTCCACTT